CATGAAGTTCAACAAAGGCAAGTGCAGGGTCCTGCACCTGGGAAGGAATAACCCCATGCACCAGTACAGGCTGGGGGCTGACCTGCTGGAAAGTAGCTCTGCAGAGAAGGACCTGGGAGTCCTGGTGGACCACAAGTTGACCATGAGCCAGAAATAAGCCCTTGTGGCCAAGAAGGCCAAGGGTATCCTGGGCTGCATTAGGCAGAGTGTTGTCAGCAGGTCGAGGGAGGTGATCCTGCCCCTCTACTCAGCCCTGGGGAGGCCTCACCTGGAGTCCTGTGTCCAGTGCTGGGCTCCCCAGTACAAGAGAGACATGGAGCTCCTGAAGCGAGTCCAGCAGAGGGCTACAAAGATGATTAAGGGACTGGAGCATCTCTCCTATGAGGAAAGGCTGAGGGAGCTCGGCCTCTTCAGCCTGGAGAAGAGAAGACTGAGAGGCGATCTCATCAATGTGTACAAGTATCTGAAGGGAGGGTGTCAAGAGGATGGGGCCAGACTCTTCTCCGTGGTGCCCAGGGACAGGACAAGAGGCAACGGGCACAAACTGAACCGCAGGAAGGTCCATCTGAACATGAGGAAAACCTTCTTTCCTGTGAGGGTGACTGAGCACTGGCACAGGTTGCCCAGAGAGGTTGTGGAGTCTCCTTCCCTGGAGATAGATATTCAAAACCTGCCTGGACGCCCAACCTCAAGCATTCTGTGATTCTGTACTAGAGTCACTATTCATTGAGTTTGTGAATGAATCATTGTTTGGATTGTGTTTGAAAGCCAAGGGCGAGTGGTCTGCTTTCTTTTAATATTTCCTTAATAAACAAACAATGTTCTATAAGAATCTTCACACTAGATGTAAAAACATTCATTTTCTTTCAGATGCTTCAGACGTGCTCAGTCCAACATCTACCAGTACCATACGCAGCATTCCCACCTCTGATTTCTAATGACCCATTCCTTTTGCATCCTCCTCACCTCTCTCCGCATCACCCTCCTCACCTGCCACCTCCAGGGCAATTTGTTCCCTTCCAAGCACAGCAGTCACGGTCGGTAAGTAATGTTTCTTATTCTCTCTCCTAGAGTAGTGTGAGCTTGATCAGCAAATGATGCTCTTGAATCTCATTCTGGTTGAGAAAACAAATGGATCTGGTTTAGAGTAAGTAATAGGATTTTGTGGTAGTGCTACCTGAGCAAGACTAGACCCTTAGTCTGAAGGAAAAAAAATTGATGGTTTTGAAATTCATTTTGATTCTCTTAAGATTTCCTCTGCTGTTGTCTGCTCTGTTTCTCTGTAGGTCTGTACTCCTGTCAGTCTGACAGCTGATGTTTGTTTCATGTACTGCTCCTGCAGGCGGTGCTCTTCCAGGAAGTAGAAGAGAATATAGAGAAGACCAAGTATAGTGCAGCAGTGGTTTCAGAGAAAAAACTTTGTAGAGAGACCAGAAAGCACAGAGCATTATTCCTATTGCATGCTCCTCCCATGTTACTTCACAGTTGTTTTAAAGTGACCACTGTCTCCCCCAGAACACTACAGAGAAAAGTATTACTTAAACCTTCTAGAGTGTATCTGGAACCTCTTTCCTCCCCTACTTATGGAAGTTATTGACTCTTTTCACTTAAGCAAACTTGGCTGAAAAGCTAATAGCTTCATAATAAGGCTTATGCAAACATGGGAGAAGATCTTATTTTGGACATGAGGGAAGAAATTACATTTTGTAATTTCTGCTTACTAATTTTCTGTCAGAGGTTATCTACACCCTTGTGCCTGTTTCTTTGGAGGTCTGCTAATATTTCATTAGTGCAGAAATACAAAATTACTTCAGTATTACTGACAAATACTGCTCAGACCTATCTGTGTCAAATCTCAGGTGCTGGTACTATTGTAATAATTTCATTATAGTCATGGGGAAACAGTTCTGCATAGTTTTATCTGGTAATCAGGATAAGTCTTTCCCTCAGAAAATGGCTGGACTTCTTTCTTAGCTTGGATTGCTAATTTAGGTTCAGGAATAGGCTCCTCTGTTAACTTTTAGCTCCATCAGATAACTTGATTTTATTGTGAAGTCTTACTTGGAGAATTATTGCCTTAAAAATGCTGACTGTTTAAAGTTTGTTCAGCAGAATGGGGAAACAATTCTGCTTTTCCTTTGCTTCCAAAGATGACTTTCTTATCTAACTGTTTTGAAGCATGTGGAATTAAGTAGCAGGAAAGGGGTGAATTAGAGAAATAGTAGAGTTAAGGTTTTTCTGAAAAATGAAACCAAAATGAGTTGAGATTTGAGCTGGTCTTTCCTAATAGCAAAAAGTATAGCTTCAAGATAACGCATCTAGCCTAAACATGGCAATAGGTTATTTATAAGTAAAAAAGATGGTGCTCATAATGAAGATTTTTGCTTCACAGGGAAACACTGAGTTGTTTTTTGTAAGAAACTTCTTAATTTTTCATATATCTCTGTGCCTTCAATCCTCCTCATAATAATGAAATAGAACTATTTTCTTCTATTTGAGAACATCTCTCCATTAAGGAAGTCAGTAGTTACTGCCTTAAAAAAGCAGTCTGGTGAATTGGATCATAGGGTCACAGGATCATAGAATAATTCATGTTGGAAGGGACCTCAGGAGGTTGCTAGTCTAGCCCCCTGCTCAAAGCAGGGTCAGCTATGAGATCAGACCAGGTTGCTCAGGTCTTTGTCCAGTCTGATCTTAAAAACTTCCAAGGAAGGAGACTGCACAGCCTCTCTGGGCCCCTGTTCCACGGTTTGACTGTCCTCATGGTGAAAAAGTTTCTCCTTATAGCCAGTCTGAACCTCTCTTGTTTTGACTTCTGCCCATTGTCTCTCATCCTCCTGCTATGCACCATTATAAAGTGCCTGGCTCCATCTTGATGACCTCTCTGCAGGTACTGGAAGGCTGCTATTAGGTTCCCCCAAAGCCTACTCTTCTCCAGGCTGAACAAGCCCAACTCCCTCAGGCTGTCCTCGCAGGGCAAGTGCTTCAGTTCCCTGACCATCTTGATAGTCCTCCTTTGAACTCGCTCCAATTTAACAATGTCTTTTTTTTGTATTTGGGTGCCCAAAACTGGATGTGGTATTCTAGATGAGATCTAACAAGTGCTGATTAGAAAGGAATAATCACTTCCCTCGATCTACTAGCTATGCTCCTGTTAATACAGCCCAAGATACTGCTGGCCTTCTTTGCTGCTGGGGCACACTGATGACTCACGTTCAACTTGCTTTCTACCAAGACTCCCAGGTCCTTTTCAGCAGAGCTGCTCCTCAGCGAGTCTGTCCCCAGTCTGTATTGTTGCCAGGGGTTCTTCCTTCCCAGGTGCAAGATTTGGCATTTGTCCTTGTTGAATATCATAAGGTTCCTTTTGGCCCATTTCTCTAGCCTGTCCAGGTCCCTCTGTATGGCAACCCTGCCCTCCAGTGTATGGACTTGTTCCCCTCAATTTGGTGTCATTTGCAGAGTTCATGAGCAAGTACTCTGCCTCTTCCAGGACACTGATGTAGTTGTTAAACAGGATAGGTCCCTGTGGTATGCTACTTGTTACCAACATCTGGGTAGAGTATGACCCATTAACTACTACTCTCTGAGCCTGATCATCCAACCAGTTTTTTATCCATTTGGTTGTGCACCTATCCAGACTGTAATATCCTAACTTAGATACAAGAATATTGTGGGAAATAGTGTCAGTTTTGCTAAAGTTCAAGTAAATGACATTCACTGCTCTCCCCTCATTCACAAATCCAGTCACTTTATCATAGAAGGCAATTGGGTTGATCAGGCATGATGTCCCTTTGGTAAAGCCATGCTGACTTTTCCCAAAAGGATCTCTCCAAAAGGAAGACCTTGTCACTGAAGAGTGAGGCAAAGAAAACATTGCGTACCTCAGCCTTATCTGTGTCTGCTGTCACTAGATCACCCATCCTGTTCAGCAGCGGGTCCAAATTTTCCTTGTTCAGCTGTTTATTACTAATGTAGTGGTAGAAGCTCTTCTTTTTGCCCTTGATGTCCTTTGCAAGACTCAGTTCCAGTTGAGCTTTCATGTTCCTGACACCATCACTACATGCCTGGACAGTGTTTCTAGAGTCCTCCTGTGTAGTCTGTCCCTGCTTCCATCTCCTGTATGCTGCCCTTTTGCATTGGAGCTCAGTCATGAGTTCCCTGCTTAGCTAAGCCAGTCTCCTGATATGTCTGCTTGTCTTCCTGAATATTGGGATGGACTGTTTGTGTGCTTGGAGGAAGCTGTCCTTGAAGATCTGCCAGTTCTCTGGAGCTCCTTTGCCCTTCAGAGCTGCCTCCCACAGGATCCCACCTACTAGTTTCCTGAATAAGGTAAAGTCTGCTCTCCTGAAGGCCAGGATCTGTACTGTGAGACTTGCATTCCTCACTCCCCTCAGAAACTTGAGCTCTGCTATTTCATGGTCACTGCAGTCAAGGCTGCCCTTGATTATCATGTCTCCAACCAGTTCTTCATTGTTAGTGCATAGCAGATCCATCTGTGCATCAGCCCTGGTTGGCCCATCTAGTACCTGTATCAAGAAGTTATCCCTCACGCCCTCCAGAAATCTTCTTGACTTCTTGTGTTTCACTGTGTTGCCCTTCCAGCAGATGTCAGGGAGGTCGAAGTCGCCTGTAAGAACCAGGGTTTGTGATCCAGAGACTTCCTCAAGTTCTTTAAAGATGTTAAAGTTCCGATGGTAGTTTCACATAAGAGTTACCTTATCTAGCCTATACGCGGTAACAGAATGCCTGGCCATTTTTGGTGTGTTAATCTTGTAACATCCCTGAAAAACATAAGTTCTTCAATCCACTTTCTCTTTGAGGGGGGTAAAATGGGGCAAAGGTGGGGCTCACAAAGTATTTGGTATTTCTTGAGGACCTTTGGGCCTGACTGTCTTAGAGTGACTAGAGTATGGAACTGAACTTGAGTCTCACACTTCTGAAACCACTGGATTGCCTGTTCTTGGTAGAACTGTCCATTGTACTAGTCTTCTAATAAAGCACCTGCAAATACTGAGATTAGCCATGTCTGCTGTTCACCTTCACTTTTCAAACTGTCAGAGACAATTTGGGTTCTCATCTTTGGCCCTTGCAGTGAACAACATGATAAAAAGGAGTATTTTCCAAGAAGGTCTTGTTTCTCTCACATAATTTCAGTGAGAGCACCCTGGCATGAAAGAGAGCAAGTAGTTGTCCTTAACAATATGAAAAGCAGGGAATTATGGCTACTCCCATATTTATCAGGCTGCATAAATTTCCTAATCTGTAAGCATGACTAGCTGGAAAAGGTCAACTTATGCTGAGTTCTTAGTGCCTTTTTTGCTTTTTGGTAGTATTGACAATAGAGTCACTGTTTGCTATTACTTTGAAATTGAGTATGATTGCACTGTACTCTATAAAATTTCCACAGCTCCTCAGAACATACAATTGGAGTTGTGGTTCTTTTTTATTTAAATATGAATAAATAAATAAATAAAATTGGATTTCTATTAATACAACAAACCCTATGTCTCTTTTAGCCACTTCAAAGGATAGAGAATGAAGTAGAACTGCTTGGAGAACATCTTCCTGTAGGAGGCTTTACCTACCCTCCATCAGCTCATCCACCAACATTGCCTCCCTCAGCTCCTCTCCAGTTCTTAACCCATGATCCTTTGCACCAGGAGGTGTCATTTGGAGTAGTAAGTATTGCTTCTGTACTACATCCTCTGCATGCTGAGTTAAAGTTCTTTATTCTACGTGATAGCCATTTTATTGAAAAATGGTATTTCTTGCAATTGAATTTCGTTAGTGGCTGCAGCTGTGGGAAGTCAGGGTGGTTTTTTTTTAGGTTAAACTTATTTCATGTATACTGAAGGTTCAAACTTGGAAGAATGAAAACATGCTACCAAAATCTTTGAGTGATCTTTTTTCATAAAATAAATGTCTCAAGGCCTCTGAATATCAATTCAGTAGTGGTGCATGAGTTTTGATTCTAAAAATCTGCTAACATGTTTTCACTATTGAATATTTCTAGAAAAATACAATATATATCTAAGTGGCAATTCTTTACTGTTTCTGCCCCCATTTAATAGACAGTGCAAGATATTTTAAACAGTGATATTGTGTATGTATGTATGTAAGTAAACTAAAGAGCTTGGCATGCAAATCAAAAAGTAGGATAATAGTGTATTTTTCTCCTATGGAAAGAACATGTTGAAGCTGTAAACTTGAATGTCTCTTTAGGCACTATTTAGATACACAGCTCGTATTCTTTAAATGATCCTTACAGTTAAGGCTACAACCCCTCCCTAAAGTGAATGTAATTGAGCACCACTCTGAAGGCAATTTCTATTTATTTATTTATTTTAAACCTTATTCTTTATTTAATGTGAAAGATTTACTGTGGTGCAACCTGTCAGTGCCCCCTAATGGATATTTGGCTTATACCAGCAAAAGAACTCCTGTATAGATGTTGTTTAAAAAACCTCTCATTCTTACCCAACCAGTTGCACACAAGCCTGCACATAGCTCCAGGTCCAAAGCCCTGGGCTCTTGGTTTGCAACAAGGTCACCAATTCAAGTCCTGCCTGTCCAAATCAGCCCACATGTAGGCTAAGCCTTACAAAATGCTTATAAGCTAACTTGCAAGGGTTTCTGGTGAGCATTGTTACTTTTTTCCTATAGGATTGTATAATTGTATATTACTGATGAGATTTGTTGGTCAAAATAAAATTTTTTGAAGAGACTGGGGTTTTTTTGGATAATGCCTTATTTAAAATGTATTTCAACATTCACTTTTCATTTAATTTCATTATTAAATAGGAAAAGAAAATGTTGACATTTTTCTTCCTTTTTACAGCCTTACCCATCTTTTATGTCTCAAAGACTCACAGGGCGTAGTAGATACCGATCACAGCAACCAATACCACCACACCCTTACCATCCCAGCCTATTACCATATGTGCTGTAAGTCCAAAGTACATCTTACTTGTAGACTATTAAATAATTCTGTAAGCTAACCAATCCCCTCAATGTTTTTTATGTTTGGGCTCTACCACGGAGTAAAGACAGTTCAGCTGTTCCCAAGGAGGAATAAAACTTGCAGTTATATTTAAAGTTTCCAGTCCACTTGAACAGCATGTTTTTCCCTTTCTCAGGTATATAAGTGAACAATTTTGTGATAAAATAGTTTGGGGATCTGCTATGCCTCTTGTTTCTGTTGAAATCTCCTTGTTCAATGTAGAACAGTTAAACTTAGTTCTTGGATAATCTTATAGTTATGAGTTATACTCATGGTTGCATTATAAAGTGTTCTTATGTAGGATAAAGATCTAACAGTCCTTACAAAAAAAAAAAAAGCAAATCAATTTACTCCTAAGTAATTATTGAAATGTAATGAGGGGAGCCTTCTGGGTGTGTTTGCGTGTGGGTAATCTGTTACAGCTTTTGAACTTCTGCACCTGATTAACCATTTCTGGAAGAGAAGGGATGGGAGAAGTAACATTAAGGGATTATCAGTAGCCTGTTAAAGTAGATCCCATCTGCTGTAGTTTGGATGTATGACATGGGATTTATTGTTCTTTGTATGTTCTGTTTTTGAAATGAATACAAAATGCTTGGAAAATGAGGATTTATTTCAGCAGTGGCATTGACAGGGAGATAATCCAACTTTGTCACTTGTTGTTTTGCCACAACATCTATAGTTTCTGACTCCGCAGTTTGACTTGCATCAAAATAGCACCAGGAAATATGATCCAGTGAAGTTACTGAACTTTGAATCATGCATTCTGACAAAGCCTGCTCTGATGTCATAGCCTCTTGTCTGTCTATTCAGGGACAGCGTGGCACAATCATTCCTGATTAATTCAGGAATTCATAATAATGCTGAGTCTTACTGGAAATATCAGTTGACATAGCAATATACATGCAATTTAAAAATGCAACACAGTGAGTATCAAAAAGTGGCACAATTAGCTTTCCTTTGACTCCTTTACTTTGAATTTTAATTCTTAATTTCAAATTTAACATTTTTACTGATTCTTATAATTTGTTGATTTAAGAAGGATCAATAACATAACTATACCTCTGCCATATGTGTGCATGCTTTCCTTCAGCAAGATGTTGAGTCTTACTGTTGTTTGTTCTTCTGGCAGATCAATGCTTCCAGTGCCACCTGCGGTTGGACCAGCTTTCAGTTTTGAGTTGGACGTGGAAGATGGAGAAGTAGAAAACTACGAGGTTGGTGTATGAAGTACAAATTTATGAGGAGCAGATGTTAACTTGATACATAAAATTAAATGGTCTTTTGCTTTTAATCCTGTTTTTGTCTTTGAAATAAATGTAATGTTTGTGAAGACAGAATCTAGAAATGTCCTTTTCATACTAGTTTCTAACACTAGATGTTAGAAACACTCTTATTTTGTGTCTGTTGCCTTTCCTCAGAATCTACCCTTCCAGATTAGCTGTGGTTAAATTGCTCAGCTTTCCATTCTAGATGCCACTCTTATTTTTGCATTTTACTTGATTTTTAAATATCAAACAGGAATATAGCATATTCAAAAGAATAGAGTAACTTAGTATATTTTATGTGCCTTGCTAACTTTACAGAATAATGTTAGCATGATAGGAGGAATTCAGCTAAATGTGATGTTAACAACAATCTCTTAATATATTTTTCTCTTGACAATATGGGGAGTACAGAAAGTCACATATTTTGAAATAAAATGTCACTGGTGTCTTAGATAATTGAGGACTGATCCCAACTCTTGTCCTTGCTGCTTCTCAGGCTGTCGAATTTCCATTGAATTCTGTTCAGAAAGCCTCAGCCACCACCTACCCCTCCTCATGCATCTGTCGCATGCGCGCTGTCGCATTTGTGTGTGCGTCTCTCTCGCGCTCTGTCTCTCGTGTTCTGTTGCGTCTGCATGTGCATGTGTCTGCATGCATTCCCATCTGCGTGTGTGTCTGTCACGGTGTGTCTCGCGTTCTTCGTCTCTCTTGTGCTTTGTTACATCTGTGTGTCTGTCACGCTCTGTCATGTCTGTGTGTCTTGTGCTGTCTCTTGTGCTCTGTCACATCTGTGTGTATGCATCTGCATGCGTGCGCATCTGTGTGTGTCTGTTGCGCTCTGTTGTGGTCTCATGCTCTCTCTTGTGCTGTCACGTCTGTCTGTCGCGCTCTATTGCGCTGTTGTGTCTGTCTCGCACTGTCGCATTTGTGTGTCTCGGACTCTCTCAAGCTCTGTTGCATCTGTGTGTGTGCATCTGCATGCACATCTCCATGCATGCACGTCTGTGTGTCTGTCACACTGTGACAGTCTCTTGCGCTCTCTCTCATGCTGTCGCGTCTCTCACTCCCTCTCTCTAGCCCTCTCTTGTCTGTGTCTGTGCCTCTTGTGCTGTCGCACCTGTCTCTCTCACACTCACCCTCTCATGTCTCTGTCGTGTCTGTCTCTCTCTTGCGCTGTTGTATCCGTGTTTCTGTCTTGCTTGCGCTCTGTCGCATCTGTGTGCATGCGTGTCTGTGTGTGTCTCTGTTGCGCCCTGTCACGGTGTGTCTCTCTCACGCTCTCTCGCGCTCTGTTGTGTCTGTGTGTCTGTCTCATGCTCTGTCACGTCTGAGTGTGTGTGTGTGTGTGTCTGTCTGTCTGTATCGCACTGTCATGTCTGTGTGTGTGTGTTTGTGTCTGGGTGTCTCTCATACTCTGTTGTGTCTGTGTCTCTCTGTTGCGTCTGTGTGTCTGTGTCGGTCTCTCTTGCACTGTTGCATCCGTGTGTGTATGTGTATCGCACTCTGTCCCGTCTGTGTGTGTGTCTCTCTCATGCTCTGTCACATCTGGATGTCTGTCTGTGTCTGGGTGTCTGTCTCTCTCAAGTTGTGTTGTGCCTGGGTCTGGGTGTCTATCTGTGTCTGGATGTCTGTCTCGTGCTGTCGTGTCTCTCTTTCGCACACATGTGTGTGCGTCTGTGTCTGTCTCTCTCATGCTCTGTCACATCTGTGTGTGTGTACATCCGTGTCTTGCACTCTGTGTCTGGGTGTCTGTCTCTTGCGATCTGTCGCATGTGTGTCCTGGCGTGTTTGTGTGTGTCTGCATGTGAGTGTGTGGGTGTCTGTCTCGCTCTGTTGTGTCTGGGTGTCTGTGTCTGGGTGTCTGTCTCATGCTCTGTCACGTATGTGTGTGGCTGTGTCTGGGTGCCTGTCTCTCATAATCTGTTGTGTCTGTGGGCATCTGTCTCTTGTGCTCTTTCATGCCTGGGTGTGTGTGTGTGTGTGTGCATCTTGCGCTCTGTCACATCTGGGTGCCTGGGTGTCTGTTTGTGTCTGGGTCTCTTGTGCTCTGTCGCGTCTGTGCCTGGATGTCTGTCTATGTCTGAATGTCTGTGTCAGGGTGTCTTTCTTGCGATTTGTCGCATCTGGGGTTCTGTCTGTGTGTCTGTCTTGTGGTCCATCGCACCTGTCTGTCTCTGTCAGTCTCTTGCGCTGTGGCGTCTGTGTGTGTGTCTCACTTGCGCTCTGTTGTGTCTGCATGTGTCTCTTGCACGCTCTGTCACTTCTGGGTGTCAGGGTGACTGTCTTGCGCTCTGTTGCGTCTGTGTGTGTGTGTGTCTGTTGCATCTGTGTCTGGGTGTCTGTGGGTGTGTCTCACTGTTGCGTCTGTGTGCATCTCGCACTGTCTCACGCTCTGTTGTGTCTGGGTGTGTGTCTGCATGTGTCTGGGTGTCTGTCTCATGATCTGTCATGTCTGGGTGTTGGGGTGTCTGTCACATCTGTGTCTGGGTGTCTGTTGCGTCTGGGTGTCTGGTCTTGTGCTGTCGCATCTCTGTGTATGTGCGCATCTGCGTGCGTGCACATCTGTGTGCATGTCTGTCACACTGTTGTGGTGTCTCTTGCAATGTCTCTCACGCTGTTGCGTGTGTCTTGCATGCTGTCTTATCTCTTCCTCTTGCATCTGTGTGTGTTTATTTTGCTGTTTCTCGCACTTGCGTCTGTGTGCGTCTGTTGCATCTGTGTGTCTGTCTCGCGCTCTGTTGCGTCTGCAGGTGTCTGGGTGTCTGTCTGGGTGTGTCACTGTCGTGTCTGGGTGTGTGGGGGGGTATCTGTCATGTCTGACTGTCTGTCTCTCTCACACTGTCACGCCTGTATCTGGGTGTCTGTCTCATGATCTGTTGCGTCTGGGTGTCTGTCTGGGTGTCAGGGTGTCTGTCGCATCTGTGTTTGGGTGTCTGCGTGTCTGTCTCCCTCTGTCGCATCTGTATGTATGTGTCTGAGTCTGTGTCTGGGTGTCTGACTCTTGCACTCTGTTACATCTGTGAGTGCCTGGATGTCTGTCTCCCTTATGCTCTGTCACGTCTGGGTATCTGGGTGTCTGTGTCTGGATGACTGTGTATGTCAGAATCTGGGTGTCTGTCTCATGCTGTGTTGCGTCTGGGTGTGTGGGTGACTGTCTTGGTCTCTGTCACATCTGGATGTCTGTGTCTGGGTGACTATGTCAGAATCTGGATGTCTATCTCACACTCTGTCACATTTGTGTGTCTGTATCTCTCGCTGTTTCGTCTGTGTGTGTGTCTCAGTCTGTCACATCTGGGTGCCTGGGTGTCTTTCTGTGTCTGGGTGTCTCGCACGCTCTGTTGCGTCTAGGTGTCTGTCGCATCTGTGTCTCAGTGTCTGGGTGTCTATCTGGGTATCTTTGTCTGGGTGTCTATCTTGTACTCTGGTCCATCTGTCTGGATGGGGGTGTTGGTATCTTTTTCTCTCACGCTCTTTTGCGTGGGGGGGGGGGTCTGGGAGTGTCTCTCACACTTGTATCTGTGTGTGTGTGTCTCTGTGTCTGGGTGTGTGTGTTAGGGTCTGGGTATGTCTTTCAGGCTCTGTCGCATCTGTGTGTCTCATGCTCTCTCACGTTCTGTCATGTCTGTGTATGCGTCTCGTCTCGCACTCTGTTTCTCTATTGCATTTGTCTGGGTGCATATGTGTGCATCTGTGTGTCTGGGTGTGTGCGTGTGTCTTAGTTTCTGTCTCTCGCTCTGCTGCATCTGTGTCTGGGTGTCTGTGTGTCTGGGTGTCTCATGCTGTTGCGTCTGTGTGTGTCGGAGTTTATCGCGTTGATGTCTGGGTGTCTGTCTCACACTATGTTAAGTCAGTGTCTGGGTGACTATCTCAAGCTCTGTCACGTCTATGTGGGTGTGGGTCTGGGTGCCTGTCTCTCTCATGCTCTGTCACATCTGTGTATCTGTGTCTGGATGTATCTCTGTCTTGGTGTCTGTGTCTGGGTATCTCTCTGGTGCTCTGTCTCATCTGTGTGTATCTGTCTCACAGTCTCTCCGTCTTGTGCTCTGTCCTGTCTGTGTGTGTCACACTGTCTGTCGCGTCTGTGTATCTGTGTGCATGTGTGTGTGTCTGGGTGTGTGTCTCTGAAACTGGGGGGTCTGTCTCATGCTCTGTTGCATCTGTGTCTTGGTGTCTGTCTGCGTGTCTGTCTGACGATCTTTCATATCTGGATATCTGTCTGGGTGTTGGGGGGTCTTCCCCCTGCCACCTCCTCTCTTCCCCACCTCTCTGCCTG